GGCCATGACCAAACTAAAGCATACGAGGGAGTCAATGACGTGCATGCAATACAGAGTGCATTGTTTTTATTCAGTTCAAGTTGAAAATTTCGTTTCTACTACAAAAGCAATGCGCATTTAAAACAGATAGCACCTGTGTACACTTATGACGTGAATACACATGTTCTTACCGCTTTTTTGAAAAAAACAATATTAATACGAATTACTTGAATGTACTATTCAAGAATGATTGCCGTCATTGATTCACTTGATATAAATAATTAATTTAGACATAGTCATAGTCATTTATTACTAACAAAAAGAAAAACACACACACATAATAACAATAAACAAAGAAAAAAAATATAATGAGAGATATCAAAAAAAAAATCCTTTTCCCTTTGGGTTCGTTTCAAGTGTGTGCTGTGTTTGCAATTGGCCCTGACTGTTCCACAGCGCTGTGGAAATTTCTGTGGAAGTTACTGGGGTTGATTAACAAATAGCACACTTCATCTTCAAGCCACAGAAAATGCCACAACGTGCCATATTTTTCTTATAGAACAGGGGGCTCACCTGATGACACTCTCAATGCCAAAGGACTCGGGAGTGACTTGCCGGCCTTTTAAGAATTGGTACGCTCTTTACTTGAAGCACCCTAAGTCGAAATGGTTCGGAAATACTTCAGTATCGGCATAAACTGCCTTAAATAATGCTCAGTTGTGGAACATCGGACGTCGATGTGACACGGGTGATGATCGCGTACTTCATTGATTTTCTTATCTATAATTGTGGGTACCAAAGAGGCGTTGGTTATACTATAAAATTTGATAAAAATCCTTCCAGCCTATATGATTTCCTTTTAAATAAGCATCGTGAAAAAAAGTGTCTATGAAGATAACAAATTTGGAACACTGCTTCAAATAAAATTCAAAATATCGACGAAATTTGGATGTAATTACTAATTAGCGTGCCTTAAATACATACATAATTGATCAATTCAATCCGATTACGACGTAATTATGCTGCAAAATTCTTGCAGAACATTGTTAGCTTACTTTGCCTTCAATTCGCCGTTTACTATTATGCGTTTTCTTTAAAACCGAAGAATCGCTACAATGTGTATTTGAAATCCCGTAACTCATCAACGGGCCAAGGGACATACCTCATAGTCGTAGGCTAGTGACGGATCCGACAAATAGTAAACTTTACAGGGCAGCCATTTCAAAATAATATAATCATGTTAGTTTTTGTCATAACTATTTTAATTCATACTGTGTTATTATGAAAATTGGCATACAAGCGAACAAAAGGGTTTGTTTTGAAACAAAATAAAAATAACATTAAATTACACAGTTTTCTAGAAAAATCACATGTTTCTATCAAATCCGTCATTTTACCGACTGATTAATTTGAAATTTAAAACACATGGATTTTTTTTAATGTAGCCGTAATATATAGTCAATTTTCTACATTTACTAAATGACTTTTTATCAATGTTACGACATTGATAAAAAGTGGATTTTCGATTTTTTTCAAATCCGACACTGTTCTACAATCATGACGTTATATCTGCGACATTTTTAACTTTAAAGTAATCGTAACCCACTACTCCCGGGTTATATGTATTGCTTTAACCACTTTACCTTAACAAATTGCTTTGATTACGCATGTTATTAGTACGTAAATTGTTAACTTAATTAAGTTTAAAATGTGTTGGTTTTACTCTCAATGTACATAATAGAAAAATCACTTTCAAATTTATTTACGGCAAGATTGCTCGGTTCTAGTGAAAGTAACTTGTAATAGCTCGCTCTATTTAACTACTTTGAATAGGATTTTAAAACAAATCAATGTTATATTATTCAATTTATATTAAATTACATTTATTTAATCGGTATTCCGACGGCTATTTCAAGTTTTGGACAAAAATATTTAAATTTTATACACATAAATTAACAGAGATTAAAAAAAAAATATACTAAAACAAATATATATACAATCTAAAAATGAAGATACGTTAATCTTTAAATAGAAATTCACTAACGGAAAAGGTCAAGTAAATGATATTATAACATCGCGTTTATATCCGTCAAAGGAGTCTTATTTCCACCATCTCCACGAGGCTACACGAGGGAACGCGAGGGCGAGAGTGAGGACGGCGCGCTAGTGCCCGCGTCTTACCTCGTCGTTTTTTGGGCGCGAGTCATAAGACGCGAGGTGGCGAGGCGAGAGAATCAAACACGCTCCTGCGCTCGCTCAATTTTCTTATCATGAATTATATTAAATGAAACCAATCATTTGGAACATGTGCGATCGAATAAGCAAAGAATTATACAGAAGATCAAAAAAAGGAATGAAAAAAGCTTAAATTAAATTAAATGATATTTATACCGCGTGGTATGATATTTTTTATTTATATTTGTAATAAAATCTTGTAGTAGATGTGGCAATTACATAAATCTAGAGTGAGGATGGCTAGCACTCGTCCATCCTCCACTCTCCATTCGCCAAGACTCGTGCCGAGAGCACCTCGCATCTAGAAGGCACCTCGCGAGAATCTGGAGCCGATTTTAAAATATTTGTGTTTGCTAATCCAGAGAGAGGGGGGAATCGGGGGTATAGACAAAAGTATTTAACCAGTTATCGTCAAATTTGAATTGAAATGGTCACGTGATCAAGTCAGTCTCAGGTGTGTTTCGATAGCGGGTTACGGCTGCCGCAAAATATTTTTGTCTATACAGACTGCTTTGTTCGCTATTGTCAAAGCTTATATACGTATACTCTACGTCGATAGTCATGTAATCAGCCAGTCCAACCAGTTATTATTAAATATTTTTAATAGTATGCAATGAATTTGTCTTAATGTCCTGTTGACCTACATTATCAAGAAATACAAGCCCGTTATAATCAATGTTATGTTATATCTCCCAGACCCAGATTGGAATCTCAATGTTAAACAATTTATCACATAGCAACAATATAAACTGTAAGTTACACCTAGGGTAAACATTCAAAGAGCAATAAGACATCGTGGTCTTGGGACGAATTTGGCCGCGACGGCTAAACTCTATTAATACTGGCCTTTTTCGTAGGAGATACTTTTCTTATAAATTGTCTCTGCACAAAGGCATCATTTAACAATACGATATAACTTAAGACTATTAATTAATTTAAAACTAACCTCATTTACTAAAAAGGATATTTAACACAACACAACTACTTACAGTCTCTATTAAGGAGAAGATACTCTGTTCTTGTGTACCAAATTTTTTCATTTACCACTGTTTAGCACTTAAAACGTGCACTCATTCGAATGGTTTTGTCCTTTTCAACCTTCTCACTCTCCGTGGTGTCAAGGAGTTGAACAGCCACGACATTTACGTGTTGGTGGAGCCTTTGTTCATGGGCTCGTAGGAGATATTATAGTGCAGAGACAACATAACGTTGTGAAAACTATAATATTTCAAAGATAAGAATGTGTATTTAGAGGCGTCTCAGGGCTGCATCTTACCCGAACATGTCTTCGAATCTCATATGTATCTCTCCCGAATTCGTAGCTATATTCGTAGATCCTAGAATATTACTAGTTTAGGATCTACGAATAGTATAACGCTAGCACGTAGCCGATACGTCGCACAATTCTTCTATGACTGATTTAGAAATTTGTTCTTAGCATAAAAACCAATCATTTACGTGCAAAACCGTAAGCTACAGAATTCATTTTTATGTAAGAATAAGCAAATTTAATGTGAAGGGGCGTCAGACTGTTATAAGCAATTGACAAGTGGCGCCGTATGGACGCAGTCATTGTCGGTTGCCTAGCAACCCGGACGCCTGTCTGCCTTATTTTCCCGCCTTCATCGTCTATTATCATCTAAATTGACACGATAGTTACGTAATTAATATCCCGCTGGGTTTGCGTTAACCTAAGACTAAGTATATGTCGGAAATCATTTCCAGTTTTTAAAAGCCTTATTTGTCTATTATATGCTGTTTCCCGCGCGGTAAAACTTAGATCTGTCAATCTTCCTATTGTCTATGTTACTCAAGAACAATCTGTTTTTTACTGGTAAAAGAGTTATCAAAATTGATTTCCGGAAGTGACAAAACTTTACCATCTTATAATATTAGTACTACTAGTAGATAATTTGTTCTTGGCAACAAAAAACTGTAATTTTAATACTTCACGTCTAAATTTAAAACAAGGTTGATATCAATAAAATATTATTGAGTATTGAAATCTATCAATATCATTATAACCTGGTGTGTTATTAAATGAAATATTAAATTAAATACACACGTTATGCTATATTAGACACGGCCGTCCTATTGACATTATTTATTATAGGTATTATGCTCTAAGAGTATAAGTTAGTAACAAAATGTGGTTTATTATCGGTAATTATATAATTACAAATACCAATGCATACCTAGTTAATGAATTCTAGTAATCTAAACCGCAAGATATACTTGATTTGTGTTAAAAATACCAATTAGTAGCCATTTTTATTATTTAGAGGTAACTAAACTCAAAAATATAACTGTTCTCTACCGTAGCTTACTACACAAGACCACCCTACCCTAGCCTGGAGGTTCTGAGTTCAATTCCCCGACGAAAAAACCTATTTTCATGTGTGCCTAAAAAATATTGAATTGACGCTGAAATAAGCCTATTCGATAGTTACACTCACATACAGGACACTCACATTGCCAGTAGGTTCGCAAGTGCGTTGCCACCCTTTTAAGACTTGGTACGCTCGTTGATCCTTCTTGGACCCTAATTCGAGTAATAGTAGTTCGGGAATTCTTCAGTGGGCATTTGCTTCGACATAGTTGTGGGGCACGTGCCTTAAAAAACGCTTAATTGTGGAACGACGCTCGTGTCATGGTGATACGGGTGGAATTTCGTATGCCTTGACGTCCGATGATGAAAAAAAAATTGCGCAAGATTCGGTTACTTTAATATATTCTACTAATTAAAGGAAATTAAAAAAAAGTTTTCATGACTTTCAGAACTCAATATGCCCCAATGGGCGAGCAGTGAGGGCGGAGGGACTGAAGTGGCGTCTCCGAACCAAATGGTTAACTACGATGAAACAGAGTGTTACGATGACAAAGCCGAAGATGCTGATAAAATTGAACAGACTGGTGGTAAGATTATTAATCTACTTTCTTTACCATTTATGAGGGCCTAGTAACTTTTTAGAAATTAAAAAAAAATGCCAATTGTTTTACGATTTTTGACTTATCTATTTCTATACTTAATAGTACAGAGTTAAAGTTTGTGAGTTTAGAGGGTAATTTTGAAAATTCTTTTTTCAATAGAAAGCCAAAAAGACGTAGGTAGGTACGTGGTTTTGAATTGCAAATTAGGTCGGAGAAAAAATGGAAATGTTTGTTATCAACGCTGCCTTTACGATGAGAGATATATTATGATTGAGTTCTAGAGAAAAGTTGTTAAGCTTGCTAATGCCTACAAAAAAGTCAGTGACAGCATATATCTAACTTTTATCATATCCAAGACCATATCTTAATATATATAAATTACGCGTCACGTTGTTAATCCGCAATGGACTCCTGAATTACTTAACCGATTTCCATCAAATTTGCACACCGTTTGCAGATTGATCTAACTTAAAAGATTATTTTATTACAAATTATTTGTTTATTATTTGACAGTTACCATTCTAACAGATGGCGCTAGGTTGAAAGTATCAATGTTTCACATAAGCTACAATTTAATGGCATAACCACCAAAAAAGCATGACTGGTGTTCTGCTACCGTTTCCCTTGAATAGTTTACTACTATGTGATAAAGCTAAAACCTTATCCACAGCAACTAACTAACTAACTTCTATTAACTCAAAAACAGCACGGAATTTATTACGGTTTTCACCCATACCTTGAATGATTAATGGGAAAGGTTTAGGTATGTTATTTTTCAACGTTTAGGTCACTAGTATTATATTTAACATGGCATATTACGTCTCTGTATTAATTATCGTCTCAATCGAAGCGACACGATAGTGAATTATTATAAAACACATTATGCGTGCAAATCTAGCGAATATGACGATATTGATAAGAGCATGACGAAAGCCCGTGGCGTTATAATCGATTAGTCTGCATAGTGCATTCTGCATCGGTCTTACGCAAATTGTTGCCAGCATCACGTAACAAAAATCGTGCTGTTTTAAAATAATAGTAACATTGATGAGTATTGTCTATTGCTCATTTATACGATTAAAAATAGTAACTATGTATTCTAGAGACAAGTTTTATAATCTATGCTAATTAACGCACCTTATTTTTGTGATAATCTTCAAATACACTTAATGTTTAATATATTATTAGACTTACGAGCAACATAAAACCCGTTTAAAATGCTAGGATGCAATTGCTAAAGAAAAAGGCGTAACAGATGAAGACTGTAAATGATCTTTTAAATATATTCAAAGTATTATATTATATCAGTATTATATCTATATATATAAAACAAAGTCGTGTTTGTTACAACACTTATAACTTGAGAACGGCTGGACCGATGTTAATTATCTCTTTTTAGGTGGATTCTTCTCAGCTCCGAATAGCAGAATAAGTAATAAAATATCGGATAAGTTATCGAATAACAAAAAATAAGTAAATTAATTTTACGCATGCAAACAGCATGTGGTGCCATCCGTTGACAAAACTACGCATCATTTGACGTCGAATTCGTGTCAGTTCAAGAAATTCCGATCTTGATGAATGAGGAGATGCATAACCAGGCTTTCATCTTGAGTTGGGTTACGTGTTAATGTGTCGCACGAATTTGATGATATTGATTATGCAGGAGTCTCGGGGACATACGTGATTTTTGCTGCCGGAAACGGGTCTAAGTATTTAAAAAAAAATTTTCCGCCATTTTCTACTTTTCTATTGGTTATAAGAGATGTGACGTTCACTTTAAAAAATCGTGTTTATAATTAAACGATTGTTAATCTCATCAAAAAATTTAGTATATCAGAAAGTAATTTAACATGCAGAATCGCAATATTGGCGCTAGAGAGAAGAGGCCCAATGTGTAAAACTGCCAATCTTCTTTCGCAATGGAAAGAACTAAAACATTTATGCATTTGCAAAAAAAGTTGTATTGATGTTATTACCTTAATGAAATCCTAAAATAAATTTAACTAAAGTAACAACGATATTATTAAACTGAAAGGCGGAACGAAGTTAGCCGGGTCAGCTAGTTTGGAATAAATTGTAGTGATAGTTATCACCTAACTAACGGCCTAGAAATGTGGGTTGAAGCTATTTTAACGATTGGCTAGCCGCACACACAAAATAATATTGACAATAAAATACGTATTGTCAATAATATTGTGTGTGTGCGGCCTGTATTGCGGTATTGTTCAATATTATTGCGAATTTCCGGAAATTCTGAAATATGCCGTCAATATTCAGGGGGAGGCAGGGTTATTGTCAATATTATTGTGTGTGTGCGGGCCTTACTTCAATATTCTAGTTTAACATAATTTATCTATGAGTGCACGTCAAATGAGTTGTTTTCTATGTCTCAAATATTATTGTTTGTTTTGATTTTTGTTGGATTTTTGTAAAATGGAAGACGTTCTTTCTTACATTCTTTAATCCATCGTTTTTTTTTAGTTCGCGGTTTCTTATTTAACAGGCTTATTGCCATACACAATATGACACATTTTTTTTTATTATCCATACTTCCGCGTAGATCAAGGATCAGTTCGTGACTGAGCCTTTTAAAATTAGTAAATATTGGCAATAATATTGAGAAATATGCGGAGGTATATATTGTTAAAACAAATTGACAAACTTGATTTGACAATATTATTGCGTGTGTGCGGCTAGCCAATTTTCGAACGTCTAAATTTGTTAGGTCACTTCGTAATTTTAAACCACTAGCTTGGTTGTTTTATAATTCACTCGTGAACTTTGATTTGCATTAATATGATTTTAGTACCATATTCCGGAATAATAGCTAATTTCTCAATTTTTCTCTCCATAAAAACCGAGTTCAAGGAATAGGAAAAAATAAAATAAAAAAAACACTGGATTTGTTTGGATATATTTTGCGATTCATTTTATACAGATAAAGTTTCATTTATTATATATTTTTACATACGTAATTGAATTGAAGAAGTTTAATCATTTTAATAACATAATCATATCACTTGCACATGAGAAAAAATATTAAAAAGTAAAAATATATTATGCCGCTATTAGTTCATTCCCAGTAAACCCCTTTGCAGACGTACTCGAAACCATTCATACTATGTCCCTGGATGCATTAGCAGGCGGAAGCAGGAGGTTCTAATTTTAGATCTACTATATATATCTCTTATCGATGGACCTCTTACAAACGGCTTCAATGTCTATCTATCAACAAACTGCAATACTATCTTACAAGCATTCCTGGCCGTCTTCGCTGTGTTCCTTAGGAACTTAAGAAACTTACTTTATGAAATATTGTAAACATTACAATCATGATGAATTCATTAAGGAAAATATTTTCATACAAACTAAAACTAAATGAGTTATATAAGTCGAATTGTATTTACGCTGTACTGAAAGAGACTTAAGAGTACTTTAAACGCTATGGTTTGTCAGACACTGTTCTGTATACACGTCTAACATACAAAAATAATATCTACTAATGTAAATCATTTCATTATGTCATTTCAATTGATACTGACTGCAGCGCCATCTGCCGGGCTTATTTGAATCTTTCACATCGGTCCAGCTGTTTAAGAGGAGTTCAGTGACATACACACGTACCGTAGAATTATATACTGCTCAAAACAATTAGCGGAACAAGATTTTTCTCCTTTCTATTGCTTAAACTAAAATTAGATTTAAATTAACTTTTGTTAATTTGTTAATTACTACAATTAATTAAAAAATTCAATTTGTATTTTTTTTATTAAAAAAAAATGTGCATGTGCATTGTGTAGACGAAAAACTAATTGGTGATAAAAAAGGTCCATCAAAGAAATATTCTTATATCGTTTGAATATTCGTCTTTAGTGACTTTCAGTAACGTGTGTGGCCTCCATGAGCCCTAATCACGGCTTGACAACGACGCGGCATGCTTCGTATGATCCTCCGAATATCTTCTTGTGGAATTCGCTCCCATTCTTCAATCAACGCTTCAGTGAGCTGCTGCAGTGTTTGAGGTGCAATCGGATGCTTCCGGATGCGCCTGTCAAGCAAGTCCCAAATGTGTTCAATTGGATTTAGGTCAGGGCTCATGGAAAGCCACTCCATTACACGGATTTCCTGCTTTCGTAAGTAATCTGACGTGATGGCTGCAGTATTCGGCCTGGCATTATCATGCATTAAAAGAAAATCTGGGCCCATACCATATGCTGCGGGCCAAACATGATCTTCGAGCACATTTTCAATGTAAGTTTGAGCACACAAGCGCCCGGGAACAACGACGAGATCTGTGCGCTCGTCCAAACTAACTCCGCCCCAAACCATCACAGAGCCACATCCAAATTTGTCATATTCCTGGACTGCTGCTGCACTGTATCGCTCGCCTGGGCGTCTGTAAACACGGAGACGACCATCGCAACGTGTTAGACGGAATCGTGATTCATCAGTAAAAAGCACTGGCCTCCAATGTCGAAGTTGCCAATTAGCGTGATTTTGCGCGAACTGTCGGCGAGCTTCTCTATGTTGAATTGTTAGACGCACAGCCCGAACTGGTCGGCGTGATCTCAAATTGGCTTCCAACAACCTATTTCTTACCGTCTGGTCGGAAATTTCTACACCAGTAGCCGTCCTTAGTGTATTTAGTAGATCTCTTGCAGTTGTGGTGCGGTTACGTAAAGCACAGTTGATGATGTAGCGATCTTGCAAACGTGTAGTTTTTCTCTTTCGACCTTGACCACGCCGTCGTGAGTATTCTCCCGTCTCACGGTATCGCTTCCAAAGTCTGTAGATAACAGAAGGGGCTACTCCTAGATCATTTCCTACATAACGCATAGTTCGATCCTCTTCAAGCAAAGCGATAGCTCGGGAGACATGCAATTCAGTCAGATCTGGCATTATGACCTAAACTCACTCGCTTCGATGAATAACAATACTCAAAAGGCTCACTTCAATTTCTATTAATACTCAAAAGATTGAAAAAAACTACTTAAAATGTGTTTTCTGTGATTAGAAAGTAATGAAAATTCAAAGACGTCACTTTGTTTTTAGGTGTTTCTAGACACACTGCCACTTTGTTATAGGACTACTTACCAAAACGCCGATGCTCTTTTGTTTTTTATTTTCTTCGACAATGCCTTAACATTATCTAGTGGCCAGTAATAATTAAAACCTTAAGTAAAAAGTTTAGTTCTACTTTAAAGTTTTGTTCCCGTAATTGTTTTGAGCAGTATATATAAAGACATAAGTAGAAGAGAATTCTTTTAATATATTTGTCTCTAGTTTTAGTTTGTCTTTCTGCTATAAATAAATAAATTTTCATAAGAATGTCAGTCGCTAACTAACATACTACATATAGCTTTGAAAATAAATTCTATTTTCTAGATTTCTACGACAGCGGAAGCAGCGATGAGGTACGGCGAGTGAGTCGTCGAAGAACAGCGGCTAGTTCCTCTTCGTCTGGCGGTTCCACTGGTCCAGGCCGACGAAGGCGATGCGGGATCTCAGCGAGGGAAAGAAATTTAAGAAGATTGGAGAGCAACGAACGCGAACGTATGCGCATGCATTCACTGAATCGAGCGTTTGAGGTAATGTTACCTTGATGCTTTCATGTTGTTATTATTGGCACCTTTCGATACAATTACGTTGTATAGAAGGGAACGTCCTTTCACTGGGAAGTTTCTTACTACGGAAAAGATAAATGAACCTTTGTACTAGAATTTGTGTCACCGATTTGACTGTGGGGCAGTTACGCACATAATTATGTATCTCACATATAAGTATATGAACTACAAAAGCTATCCAACTACTAAGAGCAGTGTTGACCTAGTGGCTTCAGCGTGCGACTTTTCAATGAGGTCGTTGGGTCGAACCCCGGCTGTGCACCAATGGACTTTCTGTCTATGTGCGTTTTTTACATTCGCTCGATCGGTGAAGGAAAACATCGTGAGGAAACCGGCTTGCCTTAAACTCAAAAATTCGACGGCGTGCGTCAGGCACAGGAGACTGATCACCTACTTGCCTATTTGATTGACAAATGATCATGAAACAGATCTGTGACCCAGACCGAAAAAGGTTGTAGCGCCACTGCTTTATTTTACAAAAGCAATCCAAGCCTGGCAGGTTTATGCCCATTAGCTATTTTTACTGTTCAAGCTTAAACATACCCGGCTATGCAACAGTAATTAATTAATTTAATATATTTTGATTTCAGGATCTCCGCCGTGTGATTCCGCATGTAAAAAAGGACAATCGAAGTTTATCAAAGATAGAAACTTTAACTCTTGCCAAAAACTATGTTAAAGCTCTCACGAATGCTATTTGCACGATGAGGGGGGAAGGACCTCGTTACCAGTGAGTATTTTTACGTCAACCGATATTTCAACTAAGCAAACATCATATTTGGGTAATTCTTCTGTTATGTGTGATTCAAGAACCGCAAGACCGATTATTTTAAATAGTTTAAACTGTAGGACTGATAACGATCAGGGTCCTTCATTTCTACAGATTTGTATCAGATTCGTCAGATTTCTAATCTGTATTTTTTTAAAGTTAAAATAATGTCAGCGCCCAAAAACGTATATATAGTCGACACTCTCAAGCTTTTTAATCTAGATCATTATTTAATTTTATTTCAGATTTAACAACGAAGATGAAAATGTAGAGCCTGTATTTGTTATATCCAAAGACCAGGAACAAAATAACAATGTGTCAAGTGATGGAGACATAGACGATTCACCTAATATTTGTCTTTGACGATAATCGCGTTTTCCAGTAGGCCACACTGGGCCGATGTTGCCACATTCTGTGGCTCGATCATATGGATCAGCGGAAGAAGATCTACAATTGACTGGCTATGCTTGGACACCGATACAGAACAAAATATACAATTGTAACAACGTTTTAAATGTCCTAGTCTTGTAATTTTATGTACTAGAGCCCCACGATATATTTTGTGTAAATTTAAGAATGTTTTTTCTGAATAAAAATTAATTTGGTATTATGCAATTGCAAATCCATTAGATAAACAATATTCAACACACAAGTTTTTAGACGTGTCGCAGAAAGTTGTGACATTCGTGGCTACAATTAGGCTCGAAAGTGAAAAGGCCGCAGACAAAACATTTTGCGGCAGGCGTGACTAGCTTAGCAACATAATTGCATAAGACAGACGTTCTATTCACGGCAAGTAACTATTATTTTTACGTTCAGGTTCAGGAAATTGTATTCATAAACATGCCACATTGTTTCTAATTTGTATTTTCATTTTGTTTCATATGTATTTTGGATTTACGCGCACAAAAAAAATCATAGCACTTGGCAGCAAATAGGAACTCAATCAGCAAAATTAAATTTTGACCAGCTTACTTATATTTTGACGGTATCTTTATCACGCGATTTGTCATTTATATTTTTTCGTTATTTACGTTTATGTAAATCTCTGATCTGATCCTGGATAAGGGAACTTTAAACAATTTCTTGGACCTCCGAGTCACTTCACTCTACTCTGTTTTCCACTTTACGCAAACGTAATGTTAAAAAAGAACATTTTTATTATTCAGATACAATCTGTTGGTGATTTCATTCTCTCTCTTGCTATGGTTGTATTAATTGGTACTTAATAGTGTACAAAGGACACCGCTTTTGCATCTAATCCGTCTCAGTTCGATCTCTCCTAAGGTGCCAATTACATATTAAGATTACTTTAATATGTATTCTAGCACGTTTTTAAATATATAGATACTTATATTTATTTTGTGTTTTTATTAGATTTTTATATGAGAATGTTATCATTTGTAAATTTATTATTTATAAAGAAATTTTATAAAATTAAATCTACGAAGGAATTTAATATTGTTGAAAATTTATTTTACGAAAATTATATAATAATTATTTTTATAAATTTTAAGTTATATATTTGTATGTTTTATTAAAATAAAACTACTTTGAAATCTCAATTAAAAGTTACCAGAAGCCTGTGTTACCTAAATATTTAGTTCTAAGTCCAAAATATGGAATTGTAAACCTTAGTGATTAAGTATTATAATTTAAATTATATTATTGCTTTGTATCCGAAAAATATCACAAAAAGCCGTACCTATGCTGACTAATATGTTTGGACGTTGTGAACAGATTTATAATGGGAGATTTAAATGAAATAATTATATTAAGGTATGACTATGTACCACAGACTTGTAGACTTAAGTCTGTATTACTTATATGTAATATTAAAAAATACAATTATTATGCGAAGCAAGACTAAGGAGTTTAATTTAACAAAAACTGCTACATCCCTTGGTGTTAACCTCAGATTTTAATAGCTATGTATCTTAATAATTTTTCTTAATACACAGGTGATCAGGGTTCTATGTCTAATACAGGCCGTCGATTTAAGGGTCATTCTTCACGTACGAAAAAGTATTAGATTCACACATGTGTACAAAAATGCCTTGTGTATAGTCGGGTTTCGAACTCGGGAGAGTCGCACTTAGCCACTAGGCTTGTACAGCTCAATGACTTTTATTATCCATAAAGAACTAATATATAAAATAAATTTCATCTTTTACAGTAAAGGAAATCATAAATAACAGATATTTCATAAAGTTTTTACAATATTTAACACTATAGTCCCCAGAAAATATGATTGCACAGTAGGGATGTGACATTCTGCATAAAAAATCGATTTTTTTTATTAATCGATTTTTTCCTAATTTTTGAATTAATTTCAAAATAAACACCCTAAATATTTTATTTTTCATGGTTTTTTAATTAAAAATAAACAATAGAAATTATAAACACAAATTAACGTTTAAGAATAATCAAAACCGAAATTAACTTAATCTCGTTTTGATAGATTTTAGGTGAAATTTGAAAAATGAGTGTATGCCTTTTCAGTAGCACATTGCAGTATTTTTGTTGTCTTTTTAATTGTATGTAATCTTGTGCTGCTGCATAAATTTATTTTACTTTTAAATTATAGTATTCCATTCAAACTTGAGTTTTTGTAAAATTAACTGGTTTTATCATCCTTTCGATGTTTTACAAAAAAACATCAATACATCTTCAAAGCATCGGATTCAATGTATCGCATTGTAAACATCAATTTATATCGAATATTCCTAATAGCTCGAGGTCCTGGTTATAAAAGACCAGACATAATGTCGGGAGATGGCAGAGAAAAAATCGACTATGATTGATTTTCAATTATAAAAATAATCGATTATTTAAAATATAAAAATCACGTACAAAAATCGATTTTTTTAATAATCGATTATTTTTTCACATCCCTAGGACACAGTAAATAAAATCAACCAAATGCAGTTTTAATGATCATGGAATAATATTTTCTGTGGAAGTTAGTGTTTAAAATTGTGAAAACTCTATGGAATATCTGTTATTTATGATTACGTTTACTGTAAAAGGGGAAATTGATTGTTCTAATCATATATATTCTCTGGTTATTCCGCTGTGTAAAAATTTAGGAATACCAAGAAAATATGTACAATTTTAATATCACAGTAAGGCCAATGTCAACCTTCATTCCTTTAAATCAATTTTATTTTCTATGTTGACACTTGACTATTGACATTAGATTTGATAAAAATTGAAAAATATTTACAATTTTGTGATGTCTACTCAGTACTCTAGTTTTCCAAAGTTCAACTGAATTAAGGCTTAAAATAATATAATTAATATGTAAAACCATTTCTTTGAAGGCCCAATATGGACATCAAGAATGTGTTAGCCTGCCCCAATAAAGTTTGTAGAATTTGTTTTTGTGAAGCTCAAGCTCAAATACCACTAAATAGTCAATCCGATGGTGATACTCGAACTGTGTGTGAGCTATTGTCATTTCTTGCCGACATAAATATAGACATCGACTGCAGAAACCCCCTGCAAATATGTGTAGAATGTTACTCGATTCTAAACAAGGCTGTGCAGTTGAAAGAAAGATGCATCTTGTCAGAGAATATACTAAAAGAAGCTTTTCACGAGCTAGAAAAAGGCAAAGATTTAGTATCAACATCACAATATACTTCTACTATAGATTCAAAAACACTGCTTTATCCTGTAGATTCAGAATATGATTCATTTAACCATAATTTAGATAAGATATCAATTGATGACTTTGATTCAAAGGAACTGGTCCATACAGATATTGTAGGCTTATCTAAGACTGAAACGCAATTAGATATTAAGGAAGAAATGAATACTGACACAGATTTCAACAACTGTGGTAGTGTAGAAAATCATAAGATGTTAGATTCGGATTTTTATAATATAAATAGTTTGGAAAATAATATTTTAACATGTGAATGTAACTTAAAATTTACATGTGAAAACGAGTATAAAAGTCATTCTGAACAATGTAAAAAACCAAATTTACTAGTAAAAGCAAAAGATACTCTATATTGTAAAAAGTGTAATATACAATTGCCTGATCAGAAATCATATACTGAACATACAAAACATCATAATGTTAAGTTAAAAAAACCTCAAGGCCCTAAACGGTTGTTTAAATGTAATAAATGTATGAGAAAGTTTACTCATGAGTCTTCACTTCATACACATTTGTTAAAACACGAAGAAGGTGTTCAGATGAAGTTTATTTGCAAAAGTTGTAAGCGAGAGTTCAAACATCAAGCTCATTTAGATAATCATATACTCTTAGTTCATACAAGGGATAGAGGCTACAGTTGTGATTGTTGTGATAAAAACTTTACCACACTGGAAGCTTTGCATGTCCATAAAGAGGTGCACAAAGTTGAAAAGAAGCATCAATGTCATATATGCAATAAATCTTTTATAATGATGTCATCTTTGACTGATCACTTAAGGACACATACTGGAGAGAAGCCATTTTTGTGTTCAACTTGTGGAAAGGGATTTTCACAAAAAACAAATTTAGAGCAACATATAAGGAGACATTTGGGGTTGAAGCCATTTGAATGTGAAAATTGTGATAAAAGGTAAAATAACATCTGCTTAAATTTCCTTGGCATCTAGAGCAAACTGAAATATCTGTAAAGAACACTAATAATTTTTATTTGCTATTAAATCTTAAAAAAATCTCTTAGCTATAAGCAAGCAAATATATAATTCCTATGCCTGCCAGATAGATAATATTTTTTTTCTTGGAAGTGTATAACAGGATCTACATTAGATTAACAGCTGTATCATCATAACATTGACTAGGTACAATTGCTACCTAGTTTTATAAAATTATTTTTACAAGTTTCAGATTTCAGAATTAAAAAAAACTAAGTCACTGATTTGAATTTTAGATTTGTATCGAAAGGTGAACTCACAGCACATTTACGAAAACACAGTGGTGCACATCCATTTGTCTGTGATGACTGTGGTAACGGTTTTACCACTTCAAGCTCGCTAGTCAAACATCGTCGGACACATACAGGGGAACGGCCATTTTCATGTGATATGTGTAACATGAAGTTTGCTGCTTCAGGAACGCTAAAAAATCATAGGCGTACCCATACTGGAGAGAAACCTTACAAATGCTCTTTATGTGATAAAGCATTTGTACAAAAGCAAGATTTAACAGCTCATGTAAGATGCCATACTGGTGAAAGGCCATATGTGTGTTCAAATTGTGGACAAGCATTCCGGAAAGCCTCAGGACTTAAGGTTCACTTAAAAATACATGGGAAGGAAGGTGATTTACTACAAGGGATTCATGTGTCATGAGGTTTTGTTACAGTATTACTAAAACTCTAATAAGAATGTTCTGTGTTAAATTATGTGCAGCTAGTTTCTTCAGTTAATTTTTAATAAAGTACCTTTCGTTAAACAAGTTAATAAAACATTTACTTGGATTAAAACATTGATAAAAATTATCCCACCAAAAGTTGTGTAAACAATACTTTTACTTATTTTTAAACATTAATAATAGATCTTAACAAAGTTTAATAATATTTATTTTAGGAACAAGAAATTAAAATGTACCATTGTATTGTTTCAATTGCATTGCCATATCCGACAAAAACAATTGAAAATTTTATTTAAAAATTATACATAAATCATTTTCTATGATCTATAAGACTATAAATTATAGAAATATCAATTTTGGAATAACACTTATCTATTTAGTACAAATGCAGTATAAATAAAATTAATAAGCCCACAGGTACAATATAAACTTAAAGCTGCTTTAAGAATGATACATTATTTTAAATAACAATACGGAATTATATTGTGACAACTTAACAAATTAAGAATTTATTGAGGGAACAAATGAGTATTAAATCAGTCATTATTTTCTGTCAGGGCTTGATCATAAAATTCCGTATTGTTTTCCTAAATTTGAATACAATATTTAATAAATTGTGCCTGTATTAACCTATTGTACTTGTGTGAAACAGCCTACATATGTACCTATGTAAAAATATATACATCTCTTTCGTATGCCTATTATTATATATATAAAATAAAATGCACGAATGGACATATAAAAAGTGTTTAAGAGTATAATCATTAATGACATGTACTTTTATTGTACTATTTTAGGTGAAAAAAATACTCATATTATTTAAGAACCACTTTAAATTTGTTGTTAAATTTAAATTATTCAATCAGTATTCGTCGAATACTTAAATAAATCCAGTATATTTTGCTTTTTATTTTTTGCTTATCCCAACTGAAACGAAGTACCTACTAATATTTGAACATATTTCAGTTACACTATATATACATAATATGTATATATTTACACTAAAATATATATTGTAATGACAATACCTACTCTATGATATCATTTTTCCTAAAACTATTTTAAATCTATGTTATAGTAGAAACATATTTTAAAATAATACATTAAAAGTTGCATAAATGACAAGTAAAGTAAAATTACGAGTGCTATGAATGAAGAAACTAGATTTTACTTATTACTGAACTTTCTTATTATTTCTTCTCACTTGCATTCATATTCAAGTCCACAGATTGTTTTGATGGCTCCAAAGATATTCTAGTATTTATATAGAATATACCCATGGTAATAGATCTAAGTCTAACTTGACCATTTTAATAGAGAGGGCATCATATATGCAACTATATAAGTAAAAATTATCTAAAAACGAGTATCACAAATTATCTCGCAGGATTGAGTAAGTTAAATTTCAATTGGCGCGTTCACAATGTAGTTTTATTTGAGAATACCCAAGAAATATTATTATTTTGTAATAAGGTGTATTTTTATATGAAAAACTTTTGACAAATGACAATGGACATAAAAAGAGAATAAGAGATGACTTCCAGTTTTAAAATATTAAAAAACGTTACGAGCAATTTAAGCTATGGTTTAGTTTGCAAAAATGTTAAAGAGAGATAGATGTATCCTGCGAGCACGCTACCAAGTGCGAATTTTTGGAATTGAACTATTACTAGAATTTTGGCATGTCTATTTCTTAAATCTACTCAAGCTGGGTATGAGCCGGTCAAGATGAAATCTACTTACTAAAAATGGGTTAAAACGTAACTTTATTACTTCTCTTTAATACCTAAGTATATTTCCGCCTAACTCTATTGTCTATACACAACTTAAGACTATTCGTACTTGATGCGTATGTAATCAAGAGTATTTTTGCCTATTTTACATTGCTTATTCACTCCCACATTTTTGAAATAATGTTCAAAATGGAAACTAACAAAAAAAGATTAACCGAATAATTTTATGAAATTCTAATAACCATTCTGTTACAAATAGCTTAAATTTAAAGTCACCAACTCTTAAACTACAGAATCACAATACACATCACACTATCTCGCTCTAACGATGTTTAGCATACATAAGAGCGAGACAGCAACACTTATCACGCATACTTGGTACAATTTCTATCACATTTCACCTGTACACATCGTAGCAATTTTACAACATTCATTTTTAATTATACAGGGTGTAACTCATAGTCCAAGTCAAAAACTCGGGTAGTTCTCAAAGTTTTTCACAATCCATGAAAGTAGATGTTTAAGAATAAGACTAACACAGCCTTTAACTATTCTCCAATTTTTTCCTGATAAATTTTTCAATTTAAAATACATTATTTTAGATTTTTTACAATTTCCATGCGAGATATTTGTCTTGGACTAAGAGTGCTAATATCTGTTTTTATACTTTAGAGCAATTTACAATATTACCATAATTTCTATCAAATTTATTACGAAACAAACAGATTTCAGGAAAATATTATACAAAATATAAAACCGTTATTACAATAATTTAATTTAATAATATTAAATTTAAAATAAAATTTAGAAAACACAGCTACGATGAATATTCAAATTTATTGTACGAATACGAAACTTACAATTTTACGCCGCTTACTCGGTGGTATCGGCGTCTCGCTCTGACTATAGCTTGTGTGAAAGAGATGGCTGCTTGTCCTTTCGTCCGCTGCCTGAAGTGTTATGAACTGGCGCAGACCAATCGGCCAACACTGGTGACGGACGGTAAAATTTAGTTGACGTCCGGTTAAATATAGGCAACAGCTCATTTGCTTCGTTTGTAAGTGCCTGAAAAAAAAAATTGTTACAAACATTGAACTGTGAAATAAAAAATATATCTCTAAAATTATATTATTTACAAGTGATTTTCAAATAGAAACCAAATTACTGTTAATAAGAAAAGGTTTTTTCCTTGTGCATTCTTTTTATAAAAAAATATATGTCGAATTCTAATTCTATTATAATATAAAAAATAATGCGTCCTTCTTTTCAGAACTTCAAAAACTAATGATTTTCACAAATTTGCAATTCTTGAAATTGATTGTTTTTTTTATCTCTTTCGTAGATAAACGAAAATCTTTTGGATCTCAAGTCCAGGGTAATGTACCTAAATAAAGCGAACCTGTAACCTAAAAAAGTATACCTTCAAATATATAACGGCATCGGTCCCGTACCCCTCGCACGAGATAAGAACCAGATCGCCATGGAAGTAACGTGCGTACAAGCGCGATATCGGCAGTCCGTAGCCATAACCTGTAAATACATAAATATAAGGCAAATACAAAAATCCATACAATTTTTAATTATGGAAGTGAAATATCCAAAAACTTCATTAGTTTGAGTCCCCTTGGCCTCAATAAATCAGTCAAGATAGACTGCCCCCCTTACTCTGTAACTTCCAACAGCGATACAGTTTCCGAAGTCTTTGTATCGATGAAATCACGGCCACCTATAGGGTCGTTCAAGTACAGTGAAATTAGTCTCGAGAAATTTTTGCATATGTAGTGGTGTGTATATTACTCAGATCTTAGAGCGCGTTTCCACTATATCGTTCTGGCCTATACAAAAATGTTTCGATATCCTAACATTACTATTTAATATTATACTTATCCCTAGCAACACTCTGATTTTTGTTATCAATAAAAACAAGTTTTTATTTTAAAAAAAAGGTTTTGACTTTATAAAAAAAGTGTGTGCGCGATTCACACACGATAGAAGTGAAACTTCAAAGAGGAGAGACCGATATATATTTTTTTCCTTTCATCTAGGTTTTTAAAACTCCGGGGGTCTACGGGGGGGGTCAAAATTTATTTTTGGCCTAGGACGCACCGTTTCCGAGATATTTCAATCTAAAGCAAAAAATCGTCACTTGATAGTGGAAAGTGGAAACACGCACAAAACCAGAATAAACCAGTTTACGCTGTCCGCAGGTGCCACGTGCAGTCCGGCGTCAGTCGCTTGGTACTGTTAGAACATAAAGCACACATTTCATTCAAAAATTATAATTATTACGTTAATTGTTAAATTTTGTATTTGTTGATTGTTGTTATTGTTTGTTATTATTGTTATAATATTTGTTGAAGTGTTTAATTTGTGTGTAAGTGTTGCAACTTTATATTGTTAATTAAAAATGGCTCCAGTGTTAAAACATGGTCGAGGCAAGCCTTTGACTTCTCAAACTAAAGAAGTTTTGTACTGTTTGTACAAATATTTCGAAAATGAGTGTAATAACAACCCGAGCAGTATTATGACTCCCACTCAATTAGTTGCTAAATCAACGGGAATTTCAATAGCATCCGTCAGAAAGGTAGTATCAGAAAGCAAATGTCGACCTTCAGATCAGGAAGTAACATTTAAATCTCCTAAAAAGAAACCGAATCGTAAACCTACAATAGTAATCGATAACTTTGATCAGCAAGTTATCAGAAGAACAATTCATGACTTCCACATCACAAATAAAGAAATTCCCACTTTGAAAACTTTGCACGCAAAATTAAAAGAAGATATCGATTATAAAGGTTGTGTCAGCACGTTACGAAAACACGTCATGTCATTAGGTTTTAATTGGAAGCAAACAGAAGATAACCGGAAACTTCTTATGGAAAAACACGAAATTAGATACTTGCGAATTAATTATTTGATGAAAATTGCTGAATATCGTGAACAACGCCGACCAATTGTTTACACCGACGAAACATATATACATACATCACATACCCTCTCGAAATCTTGGTCAGATGGAAGCACTTCAGGTTTGAAGCAACATATATCGAAAGGCAACCGCTTAATCATTGTTCATGCCGGTGGTATGGATGGCTTTATACCAAATGCATTGCTTATGTTTAAAGCCAACCAAAAAAGTGGAGATTACCACGACAATATGAACTATGACAACTATTCAAGGTGGATTCAAACTCAATTAATACCCAACTTACAACCAAATAGTGTTGTTGTTGTTGACAACGCACCATATCATAACTCAATACAAAATCCTGCACCGAATAGTAATTCTAGAAAACAGCAAATGATTGACTGGCTGACATTGCGAAACATTGAGCATTCATCCACGTTGCTTAAGCCTCAATTATATGAACTGATTCTGCAAAACAAGGCGAGATTTGTAGAGTACAAGATAGACGAAATATTACGACAGCACGGTCATACTGTGCTGCGTTTACCACCATACCATCCGGAGTTTAATCCTATAGAAAATATATGGGGGATAGTGAAAACATATGTCGCAAAAAAGAATGTCGCAATGAATATGAAGGTTATAATGTCATTAGCTGAAGAAAAAATGAACGCCATAACTGTAGAGGAATGGAGAAAAGTTTGTCTGCATGCTATTGAGGAGGAAAACAAATATCAGGGTAGAGACGCAGCTTTAGACACAATATCAGAACGAATCATAATTAATTTAAATAATTCATCTGATGAAAGCGAGGATGGGGATGATTGTGATATGCCTGGGGTTGATGAATTATTAGAATAAAACATTTATGGCCGGAGAACACCTAATTCATACACGTCTTCACTGAAGTGAAAACCGGCATTCACTGCTTGTAATATTTGGAACTGGCTTATCTGCCTCATACAGTTCCATAGATTACAATGCAGTGGATACACATTTTCACGTCCGTATTAGTACGTAGTGCGTATGCGTAGACGTGTACGCATTTGGTGTGCTCCAGCCACAAACGTATATTACCTTTAAAAAAAATAAAAACTAAAAATAAAATGTTGTTTTTTTTTTTATTTGCTGACCATACACTACTACAAACGCAAAAATTTCTCCAAGCTAATTTACCTGTATTACGAAAGCACTATAGGGGGTGTATGTGTGTGTTTATTTGATTTTCTTAGTTGGTGATTACGTCAACAGTAATTATTGACTTTTTTATACATATTACCCACACATTGTCTATAAAAAGTTTATGTACTATTATTTTTGAGAGCTTTGTTTAGTTTTGCTGACAAGAGGAGGGAGGGGGTTAAATTGCAGTAAATCTGCTGGACATTGGCACAGCCATATTCATTCGCCCTGGTTTGTAGAGCTGGGGGATGTCGGGTGCAATTATCATCCCTTAAGGCTCAGTATTGTATCAACTCCCAATATTTTATATAACACACTATCGGACACTCGTTTATTTTGTCCATATTTTGAACGTAAATCTTTAAGTTGTTATATCTATATATAATTCTGATTCTATATAGATCTGATTTTAATTCCGTAGAATTCTGACAGCTATCATTTTTTGGCATGTCAGACATTACAAACCTTTTTGGCCGGGCACATTTTTCAATTTCAATACGAGTCGGAACATCTGAGTCTACACATAGATCTTACTTGTTAAAGAATGTATCCATTTTATTAAATGCGGTGCTCTACATTAAAAGTGGTATTACGGCAGTGATTATTACGTCCCTTTTCATCACAAACAGTAAATAACGCATAAAGTGAACTTTTTTTTTAAAGGTTTATTAAACCTGGAATTAGAGGCAGTGATGCAAGCTAAAGAATAAAATAAAGTAATTAAAGTTAATTGATTATACTGTTCGTGATATTGAAATATTTGTTAGTTTTGCACTAGAGTAATAATTTACCTTTTTGTAGGTAAAACATAAAAGATACACAGCAATATATTTTTTATTGCCCTCAAAAGGGTCAAGTTTGTCCCTTTTTCGGTGGAGAACTTTTTTAGTAGCAACACTTATGAAATGTCAGAATTCTACGGAATGAAAAAATCTGATTTTAGTTTATATATTTATGGTTGAATTTCTTGAAATTACCTGCAAGTGGAACATTATGTGAGTCAGACTTAGATGGCTGTGGCGCTGTACTATACATGTATTTGAAGAGAAGATCGGTCACGCTGCGAGGAATGCCACCACCGCGGTCAGACAACTATAAAATAAAAAAGGGTGCGTGTACTTATACGCGCTAAAAAATAGTTTTTGATTGCATGCAAATAATTAATTACAATTAAATAATCAAAGACTCGAAAAGGAGTCATTATAGTCAATAAAGTTCAGTTTACATTTGAAGAATTAAATAAATAAATATTTATTATTATTCTCTTACAGTAAGCGTAACATAAATTCTATTATTATTCGAATGTTGTTTTTAAATTATGTCCAATGCCGTAGCATCTTCCGTGGGCAACTTCATTCTGTTAATTTTGTGTCACGGTGCGCGCGCATCGTAAAATTTCACTGTCATCCATTTTTCATAACGCGCCTAAAGAAGTATAACTTCAAAAATATTTAACAGACGAAATATACCTTAAGTGAAATATCCTCCCGTCCTTGAATAATATTGAGTGTAACAGGCGGTGGGTTGCTTTCATAAAGCTCCATGACAGCCCTCATTGCGTTCTTAAAAAGCTCGAACAGCATGTGATACAGGTGAGACGGCACGTAGACTATCGGCAGCGGCCTATCACTGGGAACTAAAATATAATATATTAATTTAAAAAAAAGTTTAATTTGTGAAGTCGCTAGTACGCTCAAACATCCTGATGTGTATGTATTGTCTTAATTTATTTCATTAACGAAATAATTGAGCTCCGATATTGAATGATATATACCGACTGCTATTTGCTTCCTAGGTAATGTTTTTTTTACATAGAACAGGAAGCTCATCTGATGTTAAGTAATGTGCCAATGGGGACACGAGTGTGTTGCCGGCCTTTTATTTATATCTCGATTGATGAAGTTACTGATCTTTAGTTAGCCCTCAAATCTTGACCATCACATAAAGATTTATACGAGAAATATTGAAACAAGAAAATATTACAAGTTAGGCGTAATGTATTTTAATATTTCTAATTACTATAAACACAGATCTTAAGAGAATATAACTGCACAGTAGAACAGATATTAACAAAAGCGATGTTTCTTAAAGTTTGTTAAAAATTGTAATTACCCCCATTTTGCAACAGCTCCAGTTCAGGCGACGCTAAATAATACCTATCGCAGAGGAATCTTGCATTTTCATAAGCATCCTGCACAACTGCGGCCACATCGCACGCCGGATCTATAGACCCGATGTGCCGGCCACCGTTCCCGATGCCGTTCACAGATTCTTGCTTAGAGCCTATTTGTTCCCCGAAGAGAAGAGCTGGAATTTAATTATTTTGTTATCAAAACGAATATCTTAACTTCTATTTTTTTAACCAGAGTTCATCGTTATGTTTGAAATGAGTGGATAGATTTATTTCACTGACATTCTTCTGTTCAATACGGTGAGGTGCGTAGGCGCAGCTGCATAACACGAATAAACATAAGTAGGTAAGCCGATGTAGTTTTTGTTGAAACAAATGTGAAACTAAATTAAGATCATTGAATAGTAACTGTGCCAAAAGAATTAAGATGTAAGCCAAATTATTTTTATAATGAAAAATTGCTGGAAAAGCTGGGTAATTTTTGGATGACGAGCTTTTTTTACTATAATGGACCACTTTCTATGTACATTATTAATAGAATATAATAATAAAAAAGGTGAACAGGTTTTAAGCGTCATTTTAAGTTTATTGTATAAAAACGCAAAAACTAAATTTTGCCAAGGCCCGAACAACCTTCGCACTACTTCGGCCTGTATGGCAGTCACGGTTGTTCAAGGCAAACCTGGCGCCGTACAGTTGCAGATGAGGCAAAGAGAGCCGGAAACACTTGGAACGAGGTGAAATACGAGGCTCAAGACCGAATGCGATGGTCTGTGGACGGCCTCTGCAAGGGGTTACAGGACATTAAGTCAAGTAAGGAAATTTAATTCTAAGGTATTTCAGTTAATTTAATGAAATTGAATTGTATAATCGTGTAAACGTGAATTCTGGCAATTGTTTAATACATTTTTCATGAATTCTTTAACGGCCAAAATTAATAATGTATCCTCAATCTATGATTATAACCAATCTTGGACTGATTCATATCTAAAGACCGATCTCCAATCTGCATGCCAATAAACATTTCTGCTATCCGATTGTTTATTTGACAAAAGATTGACAGCAATCTTTTGCGTGATCCTTCCCTCTCGACCGCGTTTCGTTCAATGCAATATATTGTGTTCAAGCATACCAAAAGTTTGCTGTTTTTGGAACGAAATAAAATAAGTAAGACTTAGGGTCTGTTTCACAATGTATGGATAAAGTAGCAAATAGCTATGCAACGTTTTTGTTTGTTTTTTTGTTACGAACAAATAAAGTTACAAAATTCTATAGAAAAACATAGAACCTTAACCTTTTTGTTGGTCATTTAATATTACTTGTAACGAAACGGGCTGTCATTTTCATATGGTATTTTTGTTTGTTAGGTTATTGAGTATTTTAGTATATATTTTAATTTTTAGTTCGGCGCCTTCGGCGCCTTCGGCTTGACCTTTCAAATATACATTTTCTCTGAGTAGTTTGTGTATGTTGTTTTTGTGATTCGAGGTTGGTTCTTTAACTTAAAAAAATGTCTACGCAAAAACGTGAAAGAAGCGTCAATTTCAGCCGGGAAGAAGTTGACCTTCTAACTTCGCTTGTTGCTGACCATAAAAATATATTAGAAAATAAAAAGAGTGACTCAGTCATCTGGCAGGAGAAAGAGCAGTGCTGGAAGACGCTGGAGACGCTGTTTAAAAGCACAAGTGGGGTAAACTTTCGCAGTGCTAAAGCTTAAAGAGGGCTACAAGAAAAAAGTCTGCCTTGATACATGCTGAAACATATCGTACAGGAGGTGGCCCTAGTGCTGCTACTCCTCTTACCCCTATCGAGGAAAAAGTCAAAGACATGATATTGTTGTCTGTCGAAGGAATTGAAAGTCAATTGAAAGGAAGAGCTTCTAAATAAGAGAAAGCAATGGGCATTTGAAGAGGAAGCAAGAGAGCATAAAAGAGAATTATGGGCCATAGAAAAAAATATATTGTTAAATAAATTAGAAAAATAATAGATTTTGTGCCTGGAGCAAGGATGTATTGTATTAAAAATTTGTATTTTTATTTAATTTATCTCAAAAATGTTGTAATTTATAAAATATTATAGGAATAAAGCAAAATAATCACTTATAAGATTACTTCGCACACTTGCATTTCCCACGTTGTCAATTGCGCTTTGATCAATATCATTAGCTGGTTCATCATCATTAATTCTTGTCTTCTTATGTCTTCGCACAGAAGTACGTTGTCTTCTTCCAGCTTCAGAATTACTATCCCAATCGGATAATTGCATTTAAACTTCCAAATCACTATCACTAGAACTGGAAGATGACGAAGATGAATAAATTTTCCCAATGAATATTAAGTTAGGTCGCAATCCCAAACCCAAATCATACGAGTTTCACCGATAGCAATCCGAGATTGATTTGGCCAATCGAAGCAACTGTCAAAATGGACAGATAGGTTGTTGGCATGAGTAAACATTCATTTTCATACAGAGGGCAATCTTCAATCTCTTATCCGCCCTCTGAACGATTGGTTGAATAATTAGATTGGTATCTCAGTCCATGGACTTAATATTGGCATGCTTTTCTTTAGAAATGGATTGAATTGTCAGTCTATGACAGCTAAAATTGGATTGAGATTGCATATTGGTTTTGGCCGTAAATGTACACGGCCAAGCAATAAGTCGTCGAAAGACAATATTTTTTACTTTTTTGCTTATACAAATGTAAAACCTAATAACGCGTGTGACTCTTGACACAGTTTGAATCCTTCTGGGCATGCTTTCCATGTTTTTTTTTCGCAATTTTTGCCCAAACGCCGCCACCTAGTGATACTTTATATAAAAACCTAAAAGTTACCATTATGTGGTGTAAAGTACTGAAAAGTCGAAAATAACATTAACAATAATGGATAATTCAATCCCCGCCCCGCATCGTAACGTTTTACAATAGGACCCTCCCCAAAATTCGTTACGTAATACTTGAAAGGGAGCGTACTAGTTTAAAAAAATCAGCAAAATAAAAAATATCAGAATACACTTCACGCGTATTAATTTACACGATTACACAGTCGTTAGAGAATTAAATTTCATTTAATTATCTGAAATCGATTTAAAAACGTAAATTTCCTTAGACGCCCTTTTTTTTGGACGGCGTTTAAATTATTTTGTATAGTTTACTATCAGTCCAAAAATACATACAACTTTGTTTTTGTTTATCAAGCAGGCGTAATATATTAACTTACTATGCTGGTTCATCAGCATCCGTATAGATATCCGGCTCATATAAAACCTGTCGAGGAAGTACTGTATGGAGTTCTCGACGCCTGGATCCACCTCGTGCGACTCTTTGAGTTCTAGAACACCCTGGGCCATTGTTTGGACCACGTCGGCGTGACGATTGCGTATGTGTACTAGACGTTCGCAAAATCTGGAAATCGGAATAAAAAATATGACTTGTGTCTATTTTAAACCATAGGTATTATTAAATGCTTAAAGTAGTGCCTGACCTAATTATATATTAGACAGCGAGACTAACAATTTAGAGGAGCCGCATTAGTGTTTGTTAAAATATGTAAGGAACTCAATTTTTAGTTCCGAATTATGTCACGAGAGGCCACTTTTGCACAAAATGTACTTAGAATTAATCGTATTCAATAAATATTCCTTTTATTACATCCACGTACATTACAACAGTATTCAGTAACCAGGTTTTTGACGTGCACTAGTTATATTCCTTTAGCATTTTTTAGTTTAAAAGTCTTGTCTTTTATCGCGGAATAGTGATTATATCGATATAAATGACGCACTTTCCACTGTTGTTCAAATATATTGGCTATTTTTCTAACAGGGGCAAGGTTGAAATACATACTAATTTATTGTATTTTTAATTTTCTATTAGTTTCGTTAGAATGTAAAACGTAGCACAATTGCGACACATTTCAGTAAATAAATAGATAGGAATTTAATATTAAATCCACGTAACTATACAGACATAATAAAACAATTCGTTTATATCCTTATTTAATCACTGCGATGAATTTTTATAAACCTCGAACTCGTCCTTCCCTTCAATGGGTTCTCTGAGATGTATTGATCACCTATCTTGAGGTTGGACTGCACTTACCACACAAAACATACTATTTAATAAACTACTACAAAAATGGCTTGTCAAAGAAACAAGGGCAGACCAAAAAGCGATTGGCCGAGGAGATTGAAAGGTTTGCTGGCAAAACTTGGATGATGACGGCAAAACAGAAATAAAGGAGACTTTCTCCCGGACGGGAGGCACATGTTAAAATAGTAAAATTTTATATACAGTGTAAAGTCTGTATAACGTAATTCGTTATATGTAAAAACTCTCTATAAAAACTAAGTAAAGTTTGGTAAAAATGACTTAAATTTAAACACAAAACCCATATTATTTCTCTCTTTATAACGCAACATCCATTCTATATTACGAAGAAATATTTTCATATTTAGACATCAACAACATACTTAAGTGTAATTGTTTTTATAATCAGCTTACGATACTAGCCTTTTGAGGTGCCGAAATTTATAAGAAAGACACCGGAGGTCATAAACAGCCTTCTCGCCTTTGTTATTGTTAATTCATTAACACCTGTACCTTTATTCTTAGATTACATTGTCTGTAGGAAATTTTGGTCTCAGTTACTAAACGTAGCATCGTCACCTATCTATTATATAAAATTCTCGTGTCGCGGTGTTTGTGGTTAAACTCCTCCGAAACGGCTTGACCGATTCTCATGAAATTTTATGTGCATATTGGGTATGTCTGAGAATCGGACAACATCTATTTTTCATCCCCCTAAATGTTAAGGGTACCCCTAAATTTTTATTTTTAGATAATTTTTATTCTTTAATTTTTTTTATGATACAGCATTAAAAATACATACAACCCCTAATTTTCACCCCTCTACGATTAACCCCTATTTTTCATTATAAATGATATACATGGCAAAACGACGTTTGCCGGATCAGCTAGTATATATATAAATTGTTGTAATTGGTTAAATTTGATTTTTTGTCTCATCTCTCCATATAACGAAAACTCTCTATAAACAACAAAACGTTTGTCCTGGTAATTCGTTATAAAGAGTGTACACTGTATATTTCTTTTTGTATATTGTATGTAAATAATATATAGATAAATAAATGCTTATTATTATTTATTAAGAAGAACACAAACCATTTCCTTAACGCCAGTGTGACTAACAAAATACCATATAAAAAACTTACTGAGTCAAAACTGACTGCTCCGGGTCCATCTTCTCAAACTGGATAATTTCCTCAAAGGATCTCTCATACCATTGGTTCACAAGACCAACTGACGGCATCCGTAGCAGGTTGTCAGGGAGTAGCGCTATCTCTTTCATAATATTCGCCAGTCTGGAAGGAGTGAAAGAGAAATAAAAATATTGTTATATAAAAATAATACGAAACAGAACTAATCTGAGTACGGCCAACCAGGCTCCAGAAGATAAACCACTCCTTATATGGAAATTGTATTCGTATACAACAAACTCCCAAAGGAAAATAGAGAATTATCAGAGAATAAATTCAAAACTCTCTTTAAACGTAAATTAATTAATAAAGCTTTTTATAAATTTGACGATTATTTAAATGATCCTAATCCTTGGGATTGATTTGCTCCAGTTCAAAACAATTTGTATGACTCAAAACTTGGCGATTAAAAAGGGGCGGAGAGTTTCTTGCCAGTTGTTCTTGTCAGCTTTACGCCCTTGACTTGCGAAATGGTAGTAAATGTAAATTTAGAATCAATTTAACATCTTTTCTGTTGACGTTCATACTTGGTTACCTACATTAATAAACTTAAAAAAAATAGTATATTTGTTTTATTATTATATCATTAGTTCATCTGTGTCAATTATTCAATGTCAATTATTGGATGAAAATAATCAGTGTTCGGCGTATTTTTTAAATACTTTTAACTATCTTTATAAAACAGACCACCCCGCGACGGCCCAAGCCGAGGTCCAAGTCTCACAGGTGACGCCCTTGCGCTAGTCGCGGGAAAAACGCCCATTCAGGTTGAGTTACGCTCGCCAAAACAGCACGATCCCCATACAAAAAATATATCTAAAACATACATAGCTTTAATTCACTCTATAATAACAACCGAATCACTTAAATTAATCCTATTTTCCGTTTCCTAAAAAAATCAATGTGAACCTCATTTAGGTTTTTTAAGTCAGTTAAAAAAGCATTAGTTGATACTAAAAATATTTCTATAATTAATTTTTAATTTAATTTTTATTGAGACAAGGTAATAATATACATTCTCTAGGTGATAAAATACTAATAGCATTTTAATAGCCTGCCATTTAAAATAGTTATGATATTATAAATGTGGTATATTCCGAATTGTTTTTAAATCTTATGTTTCATGTACCTTAATTAGTTTCATGTACATCCGTTTTATTATTTTGTTATGGTTCTTCAATAGCCGCGCTCTTCACATCTGAAGGTCATGTTAGTGACCTATTTCGGCAGCGCCTGGGTGATGGAAAGACCTTTAAGGGTCTTTACTTGATCGGCCTTCCACTCTGGCCAGTCACAATAATTTAGCAAAATATTCTGGACCTCTACGTGATACACGTTAAAAAACACAGGATCCCTTGGTAACAGTGTCGAAAGACGAGTTTTTAGGCTTAGTATGGACACGTTTGTTTTTATTTTGTTATTATCCTGAGGCAATCCATTTTTTTGATACAACAGGAACAAGGCGCTTAAAGAGAACTAAACCCTATGAGTTAAAAAAACGAGCGTAGTGAATAAAAGTAAAAGTGCGGTATTTCGGACACATGAACATAGTGTCAAAACATTATAGAACACTAGAGTCAGGCTAATGAAAGAAGACAATTGAATTATTTGAAAACTTTCGGATGGCAACACAGAATGTCATTGAATTTCTTAAGTTAGTATGATTTATTGTCTTGATACTTCATGCAATTACTCATTTTTATGTCTATTATATATTTTTTCGGAATAGTTAACAGGTATAATAGCCTAAACTTTGTATTATTTGATAGAATTTTTTTTTCTTTCGCAGGATTTGATTACTCCGAATAAAGTTGTGTTTTATAAAAAATATAGTTTTAGTTTTCCATGCAATGCTAGTCATTTTAAGTATCAATAGTAAAAGACTAAATACGTATAGTATTTAATTTCATAGAAATACAGTTACTATCAATGTAAAAAAAAATAAAATAAAATCAAGTATCAAGTAAGTTTAATCCGCAAAATATATCAAACTTTTAGGGATACCATACTATTTTTTTTGAATGAACATTACCTTAGCTTAAGCTATTCATTAGTATTGTGGAAAATTAAGTCAACATAATATTACTTATTAGCCATAATTATTGTATAGGCTAGATTGTAATTCATGTAAAGTCGAACTCTCTTTTGTGAACTTTATTGTTAAATAAAAAAAATATTAATTTGTAAAAATGGTCCCTACATATTCCCCCTTCTAAATAAGTCCCTAAGCAATATTTTTTTTATTCATCCTGCTCTCTACTTCGTTACCATAATAGTCAAGTATGTCATCGATTTCGTATGACCTTAACCTTATACTTCCGAATCATCAACAATGGTAGACAATTGTAGAACATTCTCTTTGTCATTGATTCTGGAACTAGGCGTGAACACGAATACATCGTTTCAATAGGATATGTATTCTATGCAAATTGTCAAAGCTGTCAAAAACTGAATTATCGTATTGACGTATAGAAAGACGAAACTATCGTAAAGTTCGCGTATCTGTTCGAACACTCGACCTTGGCTAGATGCATTCATAATGAATAACAATTGATAACCATAAATATTATTGTTGTGCATTGAATGTAACTTTATTTATAATTCAGATTCATGTAATATTATTAAAGAATGTTGTTGTTGTGCTCTGCAGTTTCGCTGGTGTTAATTCGGTAGTTGCCTTATGTTATAATATAGTTGTAGTTAAACAAATGTCGTGGTACCCTTCGATTTCTTCAATACAAAGACTCCTCGTGAGTTGTATGCTGCGGTATTGCGGGCTACTCGATTGTGAGGAAGTTGCAAGCTGGTTAGCGCTGTGCCTTCTTAAGTTCTCATGTCATTTTCACGTGTATATCCTTCCTTTAACATATTTCTATAAGTATCTGATTGTCCTCATTTTAACGTGTGTGTTGTTTGAGAGCAAAAATAAAATACATAAGTTAAAATTCATTTATTAAAGTATGGACGTCAATATTTAAATTACATTTACTACCAGTTCCCAATATCAAGGGTGTATAGCAAGAAGAACTGGCAAGTCTCCGCCACTGTTTTTAATAACATAGTTTTGGTTTCCAAGGAAATTGTAAGAATTGACATTGACAACAGGGTTATTGTTAAGCATTCGCGTTTGGGGTAAGGATAGGGCTCAGCTGTACCGTGGGCTGTGCATCAGGTTTTAGTGGGTATGGTTGTAAATTGAGTCCCAAATAATCCTGAGCAAAATGTTAGAATATGCTAAACAGCAGTTCCTGACGTTAAAAAGAGCACTGTTGTGCACTTGTTTCCCTTTGACATATTGAAATAAAATGTCATTATAATAACAAACGCAATCAGCAATATGGGAAATGATTTACGCGTTTTTGTAACATTAATCCTTATATTAAAAATTCATAGTATCGTTTTTTTGCTACAGAGTTTCACCATATGAGCCAAAATGAATTCTAAATAATATTACTGTACAAATGAAAATAATAATACTACAATGAGTTATATTACCAATACAATAACAAGTATTGAATGACAATATCTATGACATGCGATCTACGCAGTTTTTGTTTACATAATGATAGAGCCATTAATGCATTATTTTATCGAGGCACGTGACACTTACGTAATATGTATTTAAAAGGTTGCAACCCTATTGCCTACGAGTAATTTTTCTCTAGTAATAGAAGCGTTATAATGTTATATCTACATCTATGATTTGTAATTAAACATTCCAAAACTGGCGTAATACAACACTGATTATATATTGTTATTTATATATAACATAAATTCCCTATAGAAATTGTTTTTATAAGGTAACGTCGGGAACATTTAGTATCTGCGAACGAGGAGTTTTCATAAAATATCAGCCTATTCCTATTATTAGGGTTATATCAGAGTATCACCATTTCATAGGATGGATCCATTACATAAAGATGGTTCAATGTCAGGTAAGGACCAAGGGGAAGATGAAGAGGGCATCCTAGAAAAAGGTTGTAAGGTAAAGAAGCAATAGCAAGAATAGAAAGATAGATGAAATAAAGTCATGCATAGAGATGTCTGTAAAAAGCCGGAGACGGAACACGAAAAAGGGTTCGAAAAAGGGCTCCGGTCAATAGTGGACATTACGACCACAGGTATTGACAAAAAAAATATAATAAATCTAAATATTATAATAATAAATAAAAGTATATAGTAAAAAAAAAATATTCGATTATAAAACGTGGATCGTTACTTTTTTATGTAAACAAATTTGACGGCAATGAATCTGTAAACCATTTACGCCTATTGTTATCACACTAGTTAAATTCGATTTTAATTTCAATGCAAGTATCATGTCTATACTCTGATTTTTAATTCCGTAGAATACTGACAGCTATCATTTTTTGACATGTCAGAGATGGCAAACCTTTTTGGCCGGGCACATTTTTTCAATTAAAGTTAATTCGATATATTGTTCATGATATTGAAATATTTGTTATTTATGTATTAGGTCACTTGAGTATGTAAATATTTCGATTTACCTTTTTGTAGGTAAAACATATAAAATACGTAGCATTTTTTGTATTTCCCTCAAATGGGTTAAATTTGTCCCTTATTCGGTGGAGAATTTATTTAGTAGCTTATGAAAGGTCAGAATTCTACGGAATGAAAAACCTGAGTGTAGAGCAATCTAATTTTAGCTCCTGTATAGGAAGATGGGTAATGTCCGGTTTAGTTCAATATTACAACGATTGCATAACGAAGTAGGGTTGCTATATAAAATTGTTTTATCTAAAGGGAAAATGTAAGATATTTTCTATTTAATCAAAAAAAGAGCAGTGTTGGCCAGTGGATTCAGCATGCAACTCTCATCCCTGAGGTCGTGGGTTTTATCCGCTGTGCACCAATGGACTTTCTATCTGCGCATTTAACATTCGCTCGAACGGTGAACTAAAACATCGTAAGGAAACCGGCTACAGACCCAAAATGTCGACGACGTGCGTCAGGCACAGACTGATCACCTACTTGCCTATTAGATTAACAAGTGATCATGAAATAGATACAGAAATCTGAGGCCCAGACCTAAAATTGTAGCGCCACTGATTTTATTTAATTAAGAAATTTATACAAATTTTCTATTAATATTAGAACTGTTTGTGTTAATTACAAAATTTAATCTGAAATCCAATGAATTCTTAATAACAAAATTCTTACAACTAAAAAAAGTACCAGATTAGAAGATTGTAGCAAATGTTTTTTGTATCCTTATATCTATAAAGTTCCAGAGAACCTTCATTAGTAGTATGCAGTAAAGAACAATTACTTCATACTCGAATATACTAGGTATACACTTGGATAATAAGGTCTAGGTCTCGGTGACCTTTTATATTACGCGCAATACATTGATGGCTTCATTGTTAATTTTTACTTTTATTACTATTTAATGATATACATTTTAATAATTTACAGCTTTTTACTATCTTATAGCTAATTCAATTGTTTTTACATTTGTATGTTTAAATCTGTTCCACGTATTTTTTTTGATTATGTATAGTGTATACAATAAATAAATAATATTTTTTCTAAGATTTTTATTAGAACTTGCCTTTAATCTTGATGTGTGTATAAAAAAATAAATACCAATATTATAAAGAGCGGAAAAAATTGTATGTTTGCAACAAATAAACTGACACTGAACCGATTTCGAAAAAGAAGTATTTTTAATCACCGGACGTGGTAAAGGAAATATTAATTACACATTATTCAAATAATTGCATACATATTATAACAATAATTACCTGACTGGCAGCTCCTTCCTGAGGAACAAGTAGGATTTCCTCTCGCAAGCATTCAGACCTGAAAAAATATTTGTAAAATTATTAAGTATAAATTTAACGCAAAAGGAAGAAAAACGCATTTATATCAGTATTATACATGAATATTTTGTAACATAAACAGCCGTGTTGTAGCATATATACGTTTATTACGTATAAATTGAAGAGAGTGGGTGGTTTTTACTCGTATAAATTATCTAAACGCTTCAATTCTTTAAATATGGTGTATAGTGTTCGTTCCACAGCTTCCACCTATATCAGACCTCTCAAAATATATGCTCTAACTCTCAAAACTCTCGAAATATATCCTCGAACCCCGAAAATGCATACCGTATACTTGATTATTTAATTATAAACTTTACAAGCATATTTTAATTTTGTTGTAAATCCAACAAGACCGCACAACCGCAACACGAAAAATCTAAGTAAATAAATCTAAATGTTCTCATTGTTTAAACTTTAAAGTAAAGGTATAATTCATCTCCTAAATCATATTTCCGTACAGTCCAATTACCTCTTTAGATTGTTTCACTTTTTGTTATTCATAAGCGATTAGAAAAATATTTTTTTTGGCCGGTGATCAACGTTATGTTTCCAAGAGTCTGTGCGGAATAAGAAAAGTCAAGGCAGTTATGTTAATATCTTATTTTCTACGCGTCATTTACAAAATATATGCTTTTAAATTGAGCGTAGGTACCCAACGTTCCATTCTTATATCATATAGGACCTTTTCGCTACTAAACTTCAAAATTGTACAACGAAACAAAACTTTTAAATGTTAGACAATTATACTTAATAGCATTATGCAGACTTTTTTGGAAACAAACACCCGCCACGCCACATCAAACACAACGCAAACCTATATTTAAGCAACCCAAAAACGCACTTTCTTCGCCCAACGATTATTCTCCTTCCGAGGCCCTTTCATCTTTAAGCACTTTCTTAAAAACATAATTTTCAGGCTCACATTACATACACTTACTAAAAATCTTAAATAACATCAACCAGTTCTATGCTGATACAGAAAATATTCTCATGGTGCAAACATAGTTAGATTATAAATTTGTGTAAAGTTCAGTTAAATGTCTAAAGATAGAGACTGGCTGTCCACGACACAGGGAATCTTAGTGTGGGGGTTAAGCTTAGGTTTCCTAGAAAAGCGGTGCCGTTAACTAACGGCCGTCATTTTACGGTTGTTAATAAGGGCCATCTTTACTTTTTAACATAATGAAAAAAAAACAATCATTTTCGCTCGTCAAAGTCACGTTCCCACTCATTGTATTAATTAAATATGGGCACCGCTACACGCGAAAAACGTTGAACCCTAAGCTTTAGTACTTCATTTTACCTAAATATTCTGTTATTGTGTATAATAAAGGTTTTTCTTTGTTTCAATTTCCTCATTATTAAGTATCAAGATTACTGTTACTGTGTGACCTAAGTTCTAATAAGTTTTGTGTTATCAAAAGAACAAAGAAGGTATTTAGCACTGCCGCGGTTACTATTATTTAATCTGCTAAAACGAAGGCATTTAAAAACGTAAAATATTATTAATTTGGTTTCGTTTTTCATATAAAAGGTATTGTATCGGTATTGCCTCCTATATTTTGATTACATTGAAAAGCAAAGTTAACTAACTACAAGATTTTTTTCTAGGTCCGCATTAACACTAGTTCGGTGAAAACACCGTGAGTAACATATCCGACCCAAAAGTTGATACCGTGACAAAAAAATGTCCAATTAAAAGACAGAAATCTGAGGCGAAAATTTAATTATTTCCATGTTTTTAACTCTTACTTTATCACTTATACAAATATTAAAACATGACATGAAAATAAAAGCCTTTTTGTGAAGTAATAATGCAATACCTTTGTAAATTAAAATCTATAATGAAATATATCATTATATGCATGTGACATATTGAGCATGTGTTTCTGGAGTTAGAACGTTAATATAAAGTGTTCCAGCACCAGTGTTAAGGACAAAATATCCAATTTAATATTGAAGACATGACAAGATTTCAATTTCTCGCCTGTTGTTTTCAATTTTCCAATCCAATGAAACAATAATCTAAATTGTTAATCGGCTCGATCCGAATCGATCGAATGGAGTTGAACAATTTTCTTTTGACCTATTGAACTATTACGCATTTATTTATTAAACTTAACATCATATATAATGATATATCTACAGTATATGTTACAATCATTAACATAATGTGATTCAATTAAGTATTCTGCTTAATAATAAGTGTTTTTCGATTAAATTAATCAAATTTTGCATTTAAATACGTGTATTGTATTTTTATTTTATTTTAGTAATTAAGCTTTTTTATTCTAGGTACATGGTCTTCACATATATATACATATATCAAATCAATGCATACAAAATATTGTAAAAACTAATTAGTAGGAAGTTTCTTGCCCATTCTTCTCCATATGAAACTACCTTTTGGTAGATGGTTTAAAAGTCATTTTTTTTGATAATATTTTTAACTTGTAATTTTGACTTTCAAAAGGGCCTAATTGAAATATATTTGACTTTGTATTCGATAGAAAAATCTAGTTTATTTCTTTACTTGTTATTGTTAATAGAGCTTCATTTTGTTAACAGGAGGAGGAATGCCGATTTTATTGCATTTTTCAGTGCCAATGATTTTTAATATTATAATTTCTATTTAATAAATAGTTATTTGTTAATTATAGTACGAAGGAATCTGAGAAAGATTTATAATTTATATCATCGCTTCATAATGTAACGGAAATCAGCCTCCTATTATCCTCGCAATTATGAATTATGAAATTAATTAATCTTAATTAATACAATTTCTGTTTCCAAATGCCATGCATTATATACATAAGTATATGTTATTATATATATTTTTTAAATTAATAACCGATTTTACTATAAGGGCAGATAATTGAACTTGAGGTATGAAATGCAGTGGTATCCGTCGTGAGCAAGTAATGCTACAGGAGACACCAGAACGAGAGAAAGAGTAGTCTAGGGCGAATCCTACGGTCAGAAGGCGTAAATAGGAGAAAACATGCCCATCTTCTACCTCCTATGTAGTGTGACAATTATGCCGTTGAGGCAGGGGTTGCGCAAATTTACACCTCGGATATAAAAAAAAGAAGATAATTGAACTTATTTATACTGTTTTACCTGCTATTACTTAGGCTGTTATCTAAGTTCTAAGGAAAACAACCCTTCCTGGGATAGTTAGTTAGATTTCAACGGAGATGTCAAGTGAAAGACAATTCATATTTTCTATATTCGAGTAGGTACGCTACGCGACAAGCAAAGTGGACTGTGAACCGATCATATTTATAAACAAGATTGGCCTTGACGTGAAACGAGGAAAACAAAACACTGGAACTAAACAATAATATGCGCATGCGGTGATGAATCATTTTGATAGTTGTTTTTAGGATTTTGAGGGATCTATGAAGAAAGAAGAAAATTCAAAAACGAGAATTAGCGCGAACTATGACTACCTGTTTAAATCCAATACATTTTATGTCAGGGTAAGGACCCAAGAGCGTACCAATTCTTAAAAGGCCGGCAACGCACTCGCGAGCCCTCTAGCATTGTGTATCCATGGGCGACTGTATAACTTAACATCAGGTGGAGCCTGCTGACCGTTTGCCCCCGTTCAATAAAAAAAAAAAAAATTCCCATATATATATTTACATGCTTAGCGCCTAGTCTCGACTCTGAATTTTTTCCAATTTATGACTGTTGATACGAAAACACTGTACACGTACTCTGTAACGAATTCGAATTTCGAATTTACATAATATATTACGTAAGAATTTTTTCGCGTTAAATTGAGGCCTTTAGAATGTTTAAACCTAAGCCAAAAATAAGTAAAAATCTTTTATTACAGATTTAACAAGTCTAGAAATTGCTTCGACATAAAAACTTCGTGTCATTGACGTTCCTCAAAAAAAGAGAGGTCATTTACCCACTGTACATGGAAAACTCGACACAAGGTTTGTAAACAGTTGACGGATGCTTATCGGAGAGATGGCATCAAGCGATCAAATATCGAAGAATCTAGAAACATCTTGAGTTCATAGATTCAAACTCAAAATATCTTTATTCATGTAGGTAAACAAGTACACTTATGAATCGTCAGGAAGAAGTTAAATTTATAGTAAATTTACATTTATTACCAGTTCGCAAGTCAAGGGCGTAGAGCGGGTAAGAAGAACTGGCAAGAAACTTTCCGCCACTCTTTTTAATCGCCAAGTATTGTCATACAAATTGTTTGAACTGGAGCAAATCAATCCCAAGGATTAGGATCATTTAGGTATTCCTCAAATTTATAAAAAGCTTTATTGATTAATTTCCGTTTAACGAGGGCTTTGAATTTATTCAGTGATAATTTATTCTCTAATTTCGTTTGGGAGTTTTTTGTAAAAACGAATACAATTTTCATATAAGCAGTGGTTTATCTTTTGGAGCCTGGTTGGTGGTACACTCAAATAAGTTCTATTTCGCGTATTATACTGGTGAAAATCACCATTTGTTTTAAAATCGTTTATATTTTTTTGAACATACAACAAGGCTTCAAGAATATATTGACCAGATAGTGTCATAATACTTAATTCTTTAAACCTATTCCGTACCGACTCCCTCGGAGAAACACAACAAATACCCCGGACAGCCCGCTTCTGCAGCACAAATATGGATTGAACCTCTGCAGCAGCACCCCACAGTAGAATACCGTACGACATAACGCTGTGAATGTAGCTATGATACACAATTTTAGCCGTGTCCTTATCAGTAAACTGTCGGATTTTCTTTACTGCATATTCTGCAGAGCTCAGCCTATTCGAAAGAGTCTCTATGTGTGGGCCCCACTGGAATTTACTATCTATTGTTAGATATGCCTAAAAAACTGTTTCATAAGATAATCTATTGTAAACTATATTCATACATGAGCTCGCCACGGCCAAATACTGTTTGCCTTTTTGACTGTTTGATTCACCATAATGCATTTAAAAATATGTCACACACACCAAGAATTTCGGCATAAGGAAACGGTTTCCTCAGAACACGCAGACGTGTTTCGCAATTTATATTTTGAAGGTGTTCCCAATGTGATCACGCTGTGACGTCTGATAATCACGACGGACAACAACCTTTTCAGTGGATATTTCGTAATGCGCACACGCATATTACGTGAAGAGTTTTTCATACAAATCCTTCTATACCACGAACGAAGGCTTAGTCTTAATATATACGTAATATAGATGTTTTTCTTAGCACTACTAATTTTCTAAATGTCTTTTGGTTTAGGTCACCTCAAACTGTTTCCACTGCTACCTATGAGCCCAATATGGCCCCAGCGTGGTACGAATTTCGTCTTCCCACATTGACATCCCTTTACGTTCTCCATCCTTCGGATACCAGAGATTTAAAAAAAGGTGCGTGTACTTATGTACGCGCGTAAGAAGTTATACTTCTTTGGCATTATTAAAAATAGTTTTTGATTGCATGCAAATAATTAATTACAATTTAATAATCAAAGACTGGAAAAGGAGTCATTATAGTCAATAAAGTTCAGTTTACATTTGAAAAATTAAATAAATAAATATTTATTATTATTCTCTTACATTAAGTGTAACATAAATTATATTATTATTCGAATGTTGTTTTTAAATTACGTCCAATACCGTAGCATCTTCCGTGGGCAACTTCAATCTGTTAATTTTGTGCCACGGTGCGCGCGCATCGTAAAATTTCAATCTCATCAATTTTTCATAACGCGCCTAAAGAAGTATAACTTCAAAAACGTTTAATATAAGGATATTAATTTAATTTATAAAAGGCATTAATTTTAAAATTTAATTTCTGGACTTTGAACCTATCATTTAAGTTTCTTAAGTAAACAATTACATTACTGATATATGTTACGTTACGTTATGCCCTAAATAATAATTTTACAAAGGCTAAGGTGAGGCACAAAAAAGGTTAGTTGGTCTAGTCTTTATTAACTTCAATCCGTCCTAATACTTTTATAATACTCCCGATTCACCTTATATAATGCGATTTAGTCCGGAAGAACAATTCATAATACGCTATCAATTGAATAAATCCGATCTGCGTAGTGGGTAAATAGAAAATATATTTCTAGCAAACAGTAGTTACCTAGTGACGAGATAAGCGTGAATCATTTATTATTTTACTACGGTTCTGTATTTACAAAATATATATATTTGTTTCAGAATGTCTAGACATATAAATATACATTTTTTTAATGTGCCAGGTATCGTTGGATCGACACAGTGGAGAAACACCTGCAGCTGAAAGCCAGCTACTGGCACGAAGAGGGTCAGGACAGAGATCGGTTAAAGTTTCTCGTTTCGGAAGCCAAGACAGATTTTGGGGTCCCAGACCCAGCGTGAGTGTTTTATTTTTGTCAAAGATCTCTTCTTATTCATTAAGGCCCGTATTCCAGAACGTCATTCAAACTTAACTGCTTTCAAGAGCTTCAATCATTTTTATTTGAATTTTGAAATGACAGTGCTTAAGCGGAGATTAACAATTCATTAAAGCCTTTTAAAAATATCTCACACAAACTTCCAAGAATTTCGCCATAAAGACGCGTTTTCCTCAAAACACATAGACGTGTTTCGCAAATTATATTTTGAAGGTGTTCCCAATGTGATCACGCTGTGACGTATGGTAATCACGACAAACAAAAACCTTTTCAGTGGACATGTCGTCATGCGCACACGCATATTACGTGAACACTTTTCATACAAATCGTTCTATAAAGCGAACGTATGATATTTTTCACAATAAAAAGATTGAAGACTTGCAACCTGAATAACTTCTGTTTTTTGTCATTAAATTTAATATAATGTATGTAACAGTTAATATTTAGTAGCCAGAACTGAAGATGCCACTGAAATACTGTGTCCAGGTGTAATTGGACTTCAGGTTTACGAATGTTGTTTAGTTTGTAGTAACTTTATGTACTCAATCTGTTGTCTGTTTCTGTACCGAGCATGTAAAAATAAATAATAATAATAAAATCAATGAGTCATAAAAAAGCCCGGTCAGACAATTTCCTAAGCGGCTATCACCGACCTTCATGACCTGAGGCAATGACATGCCAAGGTCGTGGAGCTAAAACGGTATGTCGACACATTGTTATATGTAGAAATATCGACAACTTCCTAACAATAGACTATGCTTTGAATAAAAGTTTCAATTTTAAAGAGAGCATTTTCAGAGTTAGTAAATAGATTAATAAATTATTTAGCGACTCAACCCGGCTTGGCACGGGTAACTATGACTATGAAAATTATAGTAATTATATACGTATACACCTTATGAATCATTCTAGATATTAATGAAAACCCCAATAAATTCTGTGTAGTAGTTTTTGAGGTAATCGCATAGAGACAAACAGATATATGTTTTGATGTAATACAAAAGTGAGAGATGTTATCGCAGACTTTTCGTATTTATTTATTTATAACAGAAATGAGATAGATTATGACAAAACGAAATGTCGAAAAAAATTAAATATAATATAAAAAAGTATATAATATTAAACACACAATATCGCTACAATTCACTCTGCGAACATTTAAATATGTCGATAATGTCGGAGACAGCATTCAGTAGGCACAACTTTCATAACGGGGATCTGTGCAACAGTGGTTCTGGCCCTTGGTATCGCAAATAACGTAGGCCTACGCCGTCGCACATATCCCATAGGGACAAAGAAACCTAGTTCTTGGGTTGCTCACTACCCCTCTCAAGAGTTTTAGTACATAGTATGCCAACTGTAAGTCCCGTCAGATTTCCAATCATATCTTTCAACGTTTAAAGGTAGCGTTCCTTAGAAACGCTTTCGTCGGACGGTTAGCGACTACCACGAAATAGTGTTAATTATTCGAGTTAAAAGCCTTTCACACTCAGTCTTCCTATTGGTAAAATTTTCAATCGGTTCAGTTGATACGAGATTATTATTTATAATATTAATAAAGAAATGTATTTGCGTTGTTCCCACGAGAATGTAAGTGCATGACCCTATTTCACCATGCCTCCTGCTGATAGAGGACAAATCTTTGTTTTTATTTTTTTATTATTATTAATTACTTAAGATGTTATGTGGAACATAGTGTAATGGTTGCAGCTCCTTACAAACATTGTGTAAAACAAAAATCTTAGCGATTAAAAAGAGTGGCGGAGAGTTTATTGCCAGTTCTTCTCTTCCGTTCTACGACTTTTATTTGACAACTGGCAGTAAATGTAAAATTAGAACCATTTAATATATATTTCTTTTTTGACGTTCATAAGTGTACATTGTGTTACCTATAAGAATAAATGATTTTGATCTATACTTAGAAGTAAAATCTATTAGAAGTTTAATCTCTTAAGGGTCGATTCGACCAAACTTCAATTTATACACGAGTAACTATACCAAGAATAATCTATTCCATGATTTTAATCTCGAGTAAATCCATAGTCGTTTGTCCACGTAATCGATAGTATAATTGCGCTAGGAATAACAATACGCGAATAGCAAGAGAATGGTGAACGAAAATAAAACTCGGCAAATAAATGTTGTTCTACAACGGGACAGTGTAAGAGCATACATCATGTCAACTCGATTTTGCCGTATTATAGAGTGAAAAAGTAGCTTTTAACAGGTGTCAAACGACAACAAAAAGTTTTTATTTCTTGTTTGTTTGAGGCTTTCGTCTAAAAAGGAACTTCTGTTGAGCCTAGTTGAATTTCATTCTAATATTATAGAAAATAAAAAATCTAAAAATAAATAAATAATAAATTGTTTAAACGTTTCATTATACAATGCCAGACTATTAATTTAGTGCGTTGCGTTGACTTGAAATTAAAACACAGAATACATATTTGTGAAATGACAGAAATCAGCTGATTGGACTGACTGACGCCATTAAATTATTCTAGGAATAGCTGTTATTCCGTGCCAAACGGCGGTATAGTAGCTATTCCCGAATAAGCCTACTATTCTTAGAATTTGTAGTTGGTAAAACGTAAAATTGATTTACTCTCGATTAACTGACGATTTATTCTAAGATTAAGATTTACTCTTGTTTGGTCGAAACGGCCCTAAAGAAAATAATTGAAGTAAAATCATTAGAGCCAAAAAAATTAAAACTAATGCATTTCTCAAATACGTTAGTGCCATGAAATTATGTTATAATAACGTCTTTTAAACGTATTCATATAAAAATCATATTTCCACACGTTCGGAGAATGGATTTATTTAATTTTTTATTGACGGTAACAAGTCAATTGATCGTGACGCAAAAGCTTGACAAGCGTTATTAACTGATGTGTGGTCAAACAACTGTAGTAATGAGGACGTCCTATTTACCGTTATATTAACAAGTACCTAATTAAACTAATTAAATGGTAACTTGATACATACTTAGTTACTAGCTTATATAGGTTAGTCCTTGCCTACTACCTGTGCTGTGTACTAGAAAATTTTCTAATTACTTTGATTCCTACCCTATACACGTAGAGTATATATGTTTATTTGATTACTTAGTTACAAGTACGTTGTTTTAACGTAAAATTTTCGCAAATAACGTGGCCACGGAGACTTGAAGATGTCAAAAATCCAAGAAATTTTTGACGTATAATTTTTATCGCTAGTAGACACTAGGGAGTCCCTGTGTTGTGGGTGAATAGTCAGTGGTACATAGTACATATTTAAAACAGTTTTTTGAGAAAAAGTAGGTTTATTTATTTATTTATTTTATTTATTTATTTATTAACACTTCGTTGCATATACATTAATATAGTACAATTGACATAAATTAAATAAAAAGGAGAGCAACTGGCGGCCTTATCGCTTTCGAGCGATCTCTTCCAGGCAACCACTGTGTTTAGTGTTACAACTAATCAAATACAAGTCTTATAAGACAATGAGTATGTGTGAAGGGTGTGCGCGCATGTATTTGAGTGTAGCTAAGAGTTGTTATAAGCGTACGCTGTGTGTTAGTTTTTGGCACCTCAGAGTCAGGCCAAGATACGTAGTAAGGCCTCTGTATATTTGAAATCCAATTCAGCTAGCGTAATTTTTATTTGTGTGTGTCTAGAATAAAAGTATTTAATGTTAATGACGACTCATTGGTCTAGTGGTTAATACCCCTGACTGCGAATCCATGGGTCCCGGGTTCGATCCCCGGCTGAGACGAACATCGATGGGATGAGCATTTGGTGTTGTGCTTAGGTCTTGGGTGTTTAAATATGTATTTATATGTCTATCTATCTATAATATGTATGTATATCCGTTGCCTAGTACCCATAACACAAGCTTCACCAGCTTAGCATGGGACTAGGTCAATTGGTGTGAATTGTCAAAAAAAAAAAAAAGTAATTTATGATGAATGGGTGATGAAAATTTTACAAAAAGCGCGTCAACCGTTATTGTTTATTTTCGAAATTAGTTTTCCTCAAACACTAATATTATTCCGTGTTGCTAAAGTATTTTCGTCCCATTTCTTATGTAAACAAACTCAGCTGTTATCATATCTCAATATTCTAGAAACTATGTATCACTAAGACAACAGTAAACATACAATATTATTTCAATAAAAATAAATAATAAAACTTAAATAAATTTCAGTTAGAATCAAAATATATTATTAAAACGGTTTTTAATATTTATTTAAGATTATTTTATCGCTGGTGATCGAACCAATACCTAAAGGTGAACCCACAGTTTATACGAGTGCCTTAACCACAAATAAGCATTGTTCTTTAAAGGAGAATGGGTCATAACATTTAATACTTGGCGGTGGTAATTTTAACAAGATCGCTAACTGCGTAAGATCTAGAATTAAACGATACTTATTGGGGCTGGATTGAACCAGCTCTCTGTGGAAGTTTTTTTATAGAACAGTGGCAAACGGGCAGGAGGCTCACCTGATTTTAAGTGATACCGCCGCCCATGGGCACTCTCAATGCTAGAGGGCTCGCGAGTGCGTTGCCGACCTTTTAAGAATTGATACGCTCTTTTCGTGAAGGACCCTAAGTGGAATTGGTTCGGAAATACTTCAGTGGGCTGCTGGTTCCACATAGTGATGGTGCGCGGCAAAAACTGCCTTATAAACGTTTAGTTGTGGAACGACGGACGTCGAGTTGATACGAGTGGAATTTCGTATTCTGCCTCGACGCCCGATGATGAAACACAGCTGCAGGATTATCCGTACAACTCCTCTGAAGACTCTCCATTGTTAATGCGGTAGATGTAGAGTGACCCCAAATACAAGGTGAAGATACTTCCTCTGTGCTGAACACTTATATTGTTGGGAAATCACTCCACACGCGCCGGGGCGCAGTGTTCTTAAAGTGACGAAGGGTGTGTTTTGAAAATTACCGGTCCCACCTACTCGCTTTGGACGGGAGGCAGGTTAACAGTTTCCCTTAACCCGTGCCTCAATTAAGAGCGTCTGCTGCGCTACTGCGAGCGACCCTTTTTACTTAAGTATTTCCGAACTAATTCAACTTAGGGTCATTTAAGAAAAGAACGTACTAATTCTACTTTTAATAATTACTACACTCGCGAGCCCTCTAGAGTGTCCATGGGCGGCGGTATCACTTAACATCAGGTTGACCTCCTGCCCATTTGTTTGTTCTATTAAAAAAAACCTTCATGGGGCGCACACTACATTAACCCTTTCTTTGTTCCTCTTTCTATAGCACTCTCATCATTAATAAATATTTCTAAGAATAAAAAGATAATTAAAATATAACTTTAACACATTTAAACCTTGACATATTTTTACAAATTGTGCAAATAATTCGTCAGCCTCAACCGGTTCTCAAAACTCGATTCACAAAATTACTGAGTTTTACAAACCGCTGGTTTTCCTCATTAACATTAAATTCAAATGAACATTTCAAGTAAAGATTTCCAAAAAAGTTACGAATCAATAAATTCTTTTTACATGTAATTCCTGGCATATTCATTAACTTATTACTTACTTATTATTATTATTAACCCGCCAAAACGCTCCTCTATGCAAGATGGCGTCTACAAACGTCAAGTTTCATTATTAATTGTCATTAAAATTATTTACAGTCATGCTACGATTCAACCAATCTGTGAACGTTTAGTTTAGTGTGTTTATCGATTTTTTGATG